TTTACGGAAATATCTACAAAATTATTGGTTTCAATCATTTTTTACTCGAATTCTATCAATTTTACCGAAAAATAGCAAGAAATAAAAATTTTTTATTTTCTTCTCATAGAGCTCTGAGAATTTTTTCAGAATTTTATTAAAACTTTTTAGTCCTTCAAGAAAATGCATTAAAATGCAGTACTAAAAAGTTAATTAAAAAATTCTGAAAAAATTCTCAGAGCTCTATGAGAAGAAAATAGATAATTTTTATCTCTTGTTATTTTTCGGTAAAATTGGTAGAATTCGAGTAAAAAATTACTTAAACCAATAATTTTGTAGATACCCAGACAGCACACGACGTCCAATGAACGTCCAATTTTGATTTTTATTTAGTCCCAATGTCCATGGACCTAATATGGACATTTTAATTACGTACATTAGTGGATGTACAAAATACATTGACTTTTGTACGTTTTAAATAACGTCTATTTTATGTATTTCTAAGGAACATATGTTGAGCTCGCATATGTCTTAATTTATTAATAGTATAAGCCGGTTTCACAATACGAATGAATTTAAACCATCGATTAAATTTATATTCTCTATTGGAACAATTATATCTGTCAAACGATGATGTGATTGGTTAGTTTTATCGAAAAAGTTATCATTACGAGGTTTTTAAAATTGCGAAAAAATTAACCCCTCAATGTACATTATTAGTAAGAAACTCAACTAGCAAAACAATAAAAACATTTAAAAACATTTTAAAAACTTAAAAACATTTTTTAAAACGTTAAAAAACGTTAAAAATAATGGGATAAGTTCTCATTTTTCATTAAAAAAACATTTTTTGGAAAAATGTTTCGTTTTTTAATATTCAATAGAAGTTTGACATTCATTAAACATTAAAAAAAACATAACATTTTTCTAATTCGTTAAGGAAAACATTTCTTAATGAAAAAAAGGAATTTATCCAGACAACACACAATATTTATGATAAATATTTAGGTCGAATTATTTTTTTTAGATATAGAAACATAAACATAAAAATATATAATATAAAGAAAAAAGTATCAAAATCTTTATTCAAAATATTATTAAAATATAGGCTAAATATTTTATACAATATTTATAGTAAACAAAAAATAAATATTTGTAGTAATATTTTGTAAGTATTTCTATAAATAGTATATATATATATATATATATATATATATATATATATATATATAAATATATATATATATATATATAAATAAATAAATGTAATTATTTATAATTATTAAATTAATGAAAAAATAATAAAATCGAAATTTAAGTTGGTAATGTATACTAAAAAATTTTTTAAATTAAAGAAATATACTTTATTAAATATAATTTTTTAACTTAAAAAAGTATATTTGTTAGATTTTAGAAAATATGTAATAAATATCTTTATATTTATTAATATAAGTAAATTAATATAAGTAAATACTACTTTTAGTATTTTTTTAAATTTGTGAAATGAGCTGTAAAACCCTTATAGAAATATCATACTAAGAATCATTGATAATTACTTATTTTCAGTATTAAAAATACTGGATAATAAGTAATTATCAATGATTCTTAGTATGATATTTCTATAAGGGAATTATAAATTTCTAGAAAAAAAATGACTTCCTTACAAGAAAAAAATTAGTTTTTTTTATGTAAAAACAATGTTTAAATAAATATTTGCTTGTTTTAAAAGTAAATAAAGTACAAGTAAATCATTTTATAAATCTAAATAAATAATTTTCTAATATTAAAAGTATCTTTTTTGTGTTTCAAATTAAAGTTTCTTTTATTATCAAATAACTATTTAAATTTACAAAATGATTTATTTGTATTTTATTTACTTTTGAAACAAGTAAATATTTTTTAAATATTTTTTAAATATACTTTTTACATACTTTTCAAACATACATTTTGCATTTTAAACATTTCTGTTCTCTTCTTTTAAATAAATCATTTGTTTTCGTACATGAATACGATACTACATGTATACAAAACAAAGCCTCTCTCAGTCAAAGTGATAGTGGCGCAGTAGATAAGGTGAATGACTCAAAAACCAGAGATCTCAGGTTTGAATCTCAGCAATGGTAAGCAAATTTTCGAAGTAAAATTTAATTTGAATTAAGTAATGTGTGAAACAGTATAAAGTGAAAATTAAGAACATATATATTTTAAAAATTTAAGAAAAGCTCAGAAAAGAGAAAGAAGTATATATTTTTATAATATTTATGATAAATATGATAAATATTTATGATCTATTAAAACTAAGGTCATAAAAATATTTATGAAATATCTTGGTAAATATTTATAAAATATTCAAATCTTATAAATATTTTGTAAATATTTTATA